TACTATAATGCGATAAGCTAAGCATGTTTTCTATAGTTCTGATAATCGCAGCTCCGTGGATGAAAAAATGAATTTATCATCTATTGTGGCAAATAACAAAACGAATATCTGCTGAGAGAAACTTGATAAGTGGCAATTCATCGCACGTTAGAATTTTGACCTAGGCAAACTATTACTAACAGACTAAGCCCAATTTCTGCCTGAATTTTTATCAGATCACTATTTTTTTCATTTGATAACATTCCAAAAGGCAAAAGCCTATCTGACAAAGCTATCAGAAGGGCTGAGCCTCAGAGCTTCCTACAATATTTACTGGAGGAATCTATGGCACTGCAATCGTTCAGCCACCACGAGAATGAATGAATCAATTACATTATTTATCCGCCATCTTCAAGAAATGCAGAAGGGGAGATTGTAGAAAATAGCTGCCTTTGAACAGTCCGAATAGCCTGCAACCTGATGGGCAGCACATGGATTTGCTGGTGTTCATGCTTACGGCTCCAAACGCATCTGGGTCTTTGTGTATAGTTGTTCTGGCTTTTGTTTCAAATAAAATAATGGCTCATTGTGAACTACATGAGCGGATTTAAACAGGTCAGCCTGATTGGGTCAAGGTAGCACAGTAGGACTGTTGAGCTTCGTCCTGCGACGAAGTGACTTCAGGCTAAATGGAGCCGAACGAACAAAACTCGGGCAAGCCCAGGTACCATCTCTCAATCCCACGCTGACCGAGGTGTCTTGCATTGCAGCTTCCATAGACACTGGCACTAGTTTTGCTGAAGTGTATGGTTACGAAACTATATGTGCTGAGCGACTGAGCAAGACGAACAAGGTTCTTTCTGTCCGTACCTTCAATGCATCCCACTTGGCTGCTGCCCTGCGGCTCAAAGAACACAATGGCGCCATCTAGGGTCGCCACGGCGAACTCACAGCCGTCGGGCCGGAACTCGACAGTCAGCGCATCTGCCGTCAGGGGAATCGCCTCTCGACCGCCGCCTTTCTCGGCGAACAGGTTCCAGACGCGGCACGTCTTGTCCCAGGATGAACTGACCAGGACTGATTCCATGTTGGTGCCAAACGCAAGACCGGAGACGCAGCTCTCATGTCCTGCCAGGACGTCGAGCAGCCGGCCCGTCTGCAGCGACCACACGAACACCTCGAAGGTGTCCTGCGAAATACGAGGGGGGGGGGGGGGGGTTATTACAGGAGCGCAATTGTGAAAATGAACATTAGGTTCTTACTAGATTTCACAGAATGTGCTGCTGTGAAGAATGCAGAAACGAGAGGTCCAGGGAGGTTAAAGGGGTAACAACAGGTAAATTTTCAAATGCTGAAATTTTTCTTTTCAATTAAAGGCCGCGTTTGAGCTTTCAAAATGTTCTCGTAAGCATGAGTCCACCCTGAAAAAGTAACTACCGCATGTTTTTAAAAGCTAGCATCAGTTGCTATTGTACCTTGACGTCGCATAACTGTATATCACGGTTTCGTCACGTGCTTTTGCTGAGTATCGTGAATGACATCTCAAGCCGCTCTGCAGCTCTGTCGGTGAAGGTCATTTTGAATGTTTTGGTTCCTGACGTCGTCACAGACAGTTGCGTGAAGTCACCATAATTGACACTGTTACCTCGACTTTAATACCAAAATAAAAAACTTATCAGCATTTGCTGTGCTTCGAACTCGTACAGAACTATCTCTGTATACAGGAGTTTTGTATGGCACAAAAAACTCACTTTTCGAAAATCGGTGCTAGTAATGTTTAGTGTCCCGTTATGGTTAACGACCCATTTGGATAATCTGCAGTAGGGGATGACGAAAAAAAAATACATTGTCTGCAAACTGAAGTAGTTTGATTCACTGTAATGATCTATAGAAGAGCAGCAATATCAGCACAGCAACCCATAAGAAATATTGGTGCACAGTGGCTGCTGAAATCATCAAGTTTAATGTCTCTTTCTAGTGCTTGACATCCACAAATGCTCATGCAATAACCCATTACCTGCCTTGAACATACTAAATCAGTCGGAAACTTAGGTGACGATACTACACAGATGTCCAGCGTTAGCATTCAGATATCTAGAGAAGCCTAAAACGCTACACTGCATCAACATTCACACCAGGAGCAGGTTTTACGGGGAAGCTGTCTGGTGGGTTTTGCAACTTTGCTGGTCAAACTATCAACTATCGAAGAGGCAACATAGCTTACACAAAATTATCACAAGATACAATTTCTCTTGGCGAGACAAATTGTACCGTGCGATAATTTTCGTATTCTATGCAGGAGAAATCGTACCATGCAATCATTTTCGTAAGCTATATATGTGTTGCCCCTTGTTAAGCTTCAAGTCGTGAGTGTGCACCTGTGTTGTTGATCTCTTCTCTAGTCCCTGTTACATACTGCACCCCACTTGTTACTCACACAATGAACTGTAACCAACTAGCCCAAATAGCTGTTTACTACAATAGATAAGCTACTTTTGTTTTGAGCGTAAACCAGCTCAAACGACTGTCTTTCCCAAGTGAAGTACAAGCGCATGGTTCTGTGAATGAAGCTGCTAGTTTTCCTTGGGTTGTTATTGAGTGCTAAACTCTACCTCTTTATCCTAGCCTGACCTAACCCGAATTCAAAGCAACAATGACCACAAGTTGGCGCGCATTACCTGCGAGCCAGCGCAGACAACCTCGCCGCTTGTGTCGACAGCCAGGGACGCAAACTGCACGGCTCTAGGCGCTGTCAGCGTCTTGAAGTTGCGGTACCGCTTCAGGTCGTAGGCGCGAACGGTGCCATCGAGAGATGCCGAAAGAACGGCCTTGCCGTTCTGTGTGAAGCTCACGGCGGCCACTCCGGCCGCATGCTCCGTGAAAGTCACGAAACAGAAACCATTTCCCGTGTTCCACAGCTTCACCTGCGATCGCAAAGTAACAAAAATGTGGTTTCCTCAAAACTGCAGTTTCCTCATTGCCCAATGCCATACTTAAGGTCTGAAAGGTGTTTCTAAATAAAAAAAAAAACATAAGAGCGACGTAAGAAAACACTAGAGGTAACATGCAGCTAGGCACTTCCAGTGCCAACACAGGAACACCATGTTGAGGGGCGTCATTACTAAGTGAAGGAAGTCCTGGTGTAATAACACAAAGGTTTTGAGGAGACGACAAACCTTGCCATCATCACCTCCTGTCACAAGATTAGCACCGTCCGGAGAGTACGCAAGGCAAGCCATGTTGTTGGCGTGCCCCTGTTGTTTGAGAACAAACGACTCGGACTGCCACTCCCAGACAATCAACTGGCCACGTCGTCCACTTCCCAGAGCAATCCAGTCGCCCGTAGGGTTGAAGCACGCTGCCGTGACCTCATGCTCTGAAACGTTCAGGGACTGGATCAGGTTGTAGTCCGGCATCTCGTGCAGAAGGAACGACCCATTGGAAAAGGTGGTGACCAGCATGTGGTTTCCGCTGTGGTAGCAGGCCGCCAAAAGGTTCACGTGCTGGCCTCCTTCGACCTTAAGTGCATCCTTCAGGAAGTGCTTCGCCATTCGGCGGTACCGAACCCTCTCCACCTCCTCGTCACCTTCGACGACGTCATCGTCGGGTATGACGTCATTAGCCTTGTTTATGACGTCATCTGCATCCTCTTCTGACGTCACGGTTCGGCGTCGTCTGCTCGCTGAGTCGTCCTCCATTAAGAAATCTGACAAGTCGCAGGACGCCTCCCAGACGCACAGTTGTCCGTTTCTGCTTAGAGTGAATACGTCCGCAGAGTCCTTTTCGAAGAAGCAGTTCACGATGGCGTCGCTGTGGCTGGAGAGCGTGTTGATGCCGAAGTTCTTCATCCTGTGTAGCGCCGTTACCCTGAACGGACATGTCGTTGCTACCGATCGCGAGGAGGCGCGAATCGGAGGACCACTCGACGCAAGTGACAGCATCGTACGCCGTGTTCAGGACGCGTTCAAGCGCGAAGGGAGTGAAGTCGCGTCTGGCATGGCCAGGCGTGCGGTACACGAAGACGGAGTTGTCCTTGGCGACGGCGAAGTACTTGCCATTAGGACTGAACTTTACGGTCGACACGGGCTTACGGAAGTGGTGCCTGTGGATGACAGTTCGAGACACGAGACTGCAGAGGAGAGCTTCGCCCGTTTCGTTGATGGCGATGAAGAGGAAGCCGGACGGGGCGATGTCGACGGCGGTGAAGTTGTAGCGGCTCTCTATCGGCAGCGTTTCCGATTTGTTGTTGCGCAGATCGAAAAGAGAGAGTCGGTTGCCGACCGGCGCGACCACGGTGTTGCCTGTCCGGAGTGAACAGCAGGTTTCCCTTGCGGTACACCGTGCCGATCAGGTTGGAAAACTTGAATGCGAACTTCATTGTGGAGAGGAGGGGTTCGTTCTAGCTACAATACGCAAGCACTAGACACAGGCACCCGAAAACCAGTGCGCGAGTTTCATCGTACTCTACAGATGTCTACAGACACAACGTGCTTTCGCCGTTGTTGTGGGCGCCGCCATGTTGAAATTAGTAGGCGCGATTGCTGTAGTACTTCGCTAGTGTCGCAAGAGAAAAAGAAAGTTGCAGTGACGGTAAAAATATTTTTAAAGCCCAATCATTCAAATAAAATTACAACATTATTTTTAAAACCTGTCACAACAGCTTCCCGAGCGCGTTTAATAACAGTTTTACTGAGCAACATTTATTCATCTCGAAGGCTATTAGCAATGTCCTTCCAATTAGTAGACAAACCATTTTTTTCGGACACAAACAACAAAACTTGATTTAATACATTTATTTTTACTCATATGTTTTAATAATTAAATAATTACAACCTTATCAATATTAAGGTTGTATTCTCACTATTGACCACAATCAATTTGTTAGTGTGAAAAATTATTAACTTGGTAGCGTCACTAAGCGGTAGTAACAAAACGCGTGGTGAACGTGGCCTCCGTGATAAGTACCGCCTGCGGGCTAGAGCCAATCGCAAAGGTCAAGTCAAGTCACGCGCCAAAATAAGATGGCGTTGGCGAGTTCGAAAACGGGCGGTCCTGTGTGTAACGGACATTCGGAGTTGTTCCTCGGCTGTTCTTGCGTAGGTCGCTCGTCTGTGCCGCTGAATGTGCGTGGTGCTCCGGTGTGAAGACGTAGTCGATCTTCGCTGTGCGTGTTCGCTTCTCCGAGGTGAATCGTGAATGCATTTCGACGAGTGACCGGAGATGGCTGACCGTGTTGGCGACGAGAACGCCGAGCCGTAAGCAGTCGTAATTTTTTCTCCACTTATCTCGAACGAGTTTAGTTGGACGATTTCCCAACCACTCGAAAAGAGTTCGGAGTTGTTAGTTGAGCTGTTGGGGAGTAGCGCCGGAATCGAAATCAACAGCGCAAACGGAACACGCCCCACTGAAATAAACAGCACACACGCCAACGCTCGTGTGTCGTTTCTATTTTCTGTGGGGCGTGTTCTGTGTTTGCGCCGTTCGTATTAATTAAAATATGTACTAACTAGGCCCAAATTAAGTAGCGCCGAAAATCCGTGCGCGTTTCTAACCTGTGCACCTTCCGTTTCTTTTAGCGATGTCACCGAAACAAGGCTACCGCGGCGTTCATCGGTAAGTAAGCACACTTTGCCGCATTCACTTAACGAATGCCCCGTGAGCACCGTTATATCCATTTGTTTTCTCGCTCTCTTCGCGTAGTGCACCTAACATGTGCTGTTGGCCTGCTATCACGGTGCATCGACAGCACGGCTGGAATTTGTGCGCGGCACGTGATGTTCCGTGCAGTAGCGTTTACGGAGGTGTTGGTTTCCCATTTTTCTAGGGTTGGGAAGCAGCTAACGAACTGCTCGTTCAGGGAAGCATAGTGAAGAAATGGCGTTTTCCCAGTTCTTAAGTTTGGAAGCATGTGTGCGCTTTGTTCAGGGACCAAGCGCACACGGACATCATAGACGGAGGTGGGGGGGCGGGGGGTTAATTTGCGAAACCATTTATTTTGGTCGTCTCATGCCAGTTGCTGACGCAGGAAGCGTAGATTGGGGGTTGGCGCACCAAGGTAATCTCCAAGATATCGGACTACGTGGCGTAGCCAAAAAGCTAGGGCATTAGTTTTATTGCAGGTTATTAGTTGTCGCTGTTCTTTGTTGTCTTCCCAAACTGCCCAGTGACTGGAGGACAGCCCGAGTTGTACCTATCTTTGAAAAGGGAGACCGCTTAGTACTAGGAAACTATCCGTCAATCTCACTAACTTCACCATGTTGCAAAATTATCGAACACATTGTAGCTACTAGTATCAAGTTTCTCGAAGAACGCTCTATATTAACCAAGTGTCAGCATGGTTTTCGTCGAGGATTATCCGCCGTAACTCAACTCGTCGCACTGTTTCACTCTCTTGCATTAAGCATGGATAGACACTGCAGGATAGATATGCTCTTCCTAGATTTCTGCAATGCCTTCGATAAAGTTCCCCGTGGTAAACTCATTTCCAAACTTGGAACAATAAGTATACCATAAATATTTGCTTGTTGAATTCTGCGTATTTAAATAATCACGAACAGTACGTTGATGTAGGGGGCCAATGTTCGGAGTGCTTCCGGTCACATCGGGCGTGCCACAGGGCAGTGTGTTAGGCCCTTTGCTTTTCCTAGTGTATATCAATGATATCGAGGTTATTCATGCTAGTGTAGAAATAAGATTTGCAGATGATTGTGTTTTGTTCAAAGAAATATGCTCCACTAATAATTACAACGATCTGAGCACTAGTCTTTGCAATATATGCGAATGGTGTAACAAATGGGGAATGTGTCTCAACACGAGCGAATGTGTTTGCCTTCCAGTGACTAGCAAAAGGAATCCACAACCATATACATACATATTAGGGTATTCGCCACTGCAACAAGTAAACTACAAATACCTTGGTGTGACACTCACTTCCAACTTATCTTGGAATCTCCATATTGACAATGTTTGTTCATCTGCCTTTTGCAAACTATGTCTGCTTAAACATAAACTTAGAAGTGCTCCCACGAATATTAAACTACTTTGTTACACTGCCCTTGTGCGACCAAAACTAGAGTACGCAAGCCTAGTATGGGACCCTTATATAAAACGTAATATATAAACAGAGAAAAGCTGTTAAATTTATATTCAACAACTAGTCCAAGTTAGACTCACCCTCAGATTTAATGCTAGCCAACAACATTTCCTTATTGCAGACGCGAAGACAAAAAGCTAGATTAGGATTTCTTGACCAACTTTTGAACAAAAAACTAGCTCTAGAACCATTGCTATATTTGACACTCCTAAGAAGGCGGGCCACTCGACACCACCACACAAAAGCCTCTATCTCATATTTTGCTCGCACCGACCTACTTAGGTTTTCGTACTTTCAAGAACCATATGTGATTGGAACTGCGATAAATGAATTGTCTTGCCAAACAACCTTCTTTGTCCTTTATTGTTTCAGTTTTGCAATTGCTATTTTATTCATCTGTATTACTTGATTTGTATCTGTATTACCCACCCTGCTTGGACCTTGAGTCTGCAGTATTGAATAAACTGTAGCCAAAGGCAAGAAAAATATCAAAAACATGTATAGCCAAATAAACCCATTCGCATTTGCCATTTTATTTACAGTTACATTTTCAATTTTGACTTACCATATCTTTTTGTACAATCCGTCGTTATTCGCAACTTCCAGGTACCGTGGCGCCGCTGAGCGGTGGCGGCCAGAAGCTCTGTTGAGATTATTGAAGTTTTGGACCTGCTTCAAACAGTATATGTTACTGCTTGTTTCCCTGCATTTGTGATCGTTTTTCAACACTGTGAACGGCCTCACTAACCCATAACCCTTTGAGTTTCTGCAAGTTAAAAGGAAAGTAGAAAAAGCAGTCTGATTTCACTGCGAGTCCCGATGCTCACAGCCAATGCCTCTTAGCTAGGAGGCATTGCCATAGTCTATATAGCACAGGGAGGAAAAGTAGGCCTCCCGCTCAAATTAGCGTCCCAAAAAGCCACGAGTGGCTGAGAGCGTCAAATTTAGCAGGCAAATAACCGAGACCCCGTGAATCTATGCACCACACATATTGTGTAAGAGTACAGCAACTTCCAGGTTTTCAGTTTTCGCCCTTAGTTTGTCTGCTCGACGTGGTCGCTGTGCAAACAATACCAGAACTAAATTAGTAACACTCTCCGCCTCTAGAATAGAATGAAAAGACTGGTTTCAAAACGTTCATCGCACCATTACACATCTGAGGCATCCGCAAAGTGTCTCCATGGCCTTCACATTTGCAGAAATTAGTGTTCGGTCTTACTAGCTGATGGTGCTTTTTTTTTTGCAGTTTCTGACACCATACTATCTTTTGTACTTCTTAAATGCCTAAACATAAATAGTAACGGGAGTGTCGCCTCTTAATCATTAATGTTTATTATTACCAACGGTTTCATTCATTGCTTGCCTATTTATTCATTCTCTAAAATCATATTACTCTAAAATCATATTGCCGGTAATATGATGTACTTAAGTTGGTGCTTGCGCTTCGGTATTGAAAAACAATTTTTTATCACTTATTCCGTTTTGTGCTTCTTGGTGAGCGTGGAATGCAAATAAACTGTAAAATAAAGTGCGCCTTCAAAAATGTTTCTGATATTAATGAAAAATTTTGTATTGAGGCTCCCTTTATATACGTTTCCAACATCACACCAGGCGTTCGGTGTGATTACGCACAGCCATCAATGTGAAGAGCGTACGTGTGGACCTTATTTGCAATTTTGTGCATATTTATCAGCTCAATGGGTTCCCGGAATTTCTTTACTTAATATAGTATGTTAGCGCTCTCCTAGTTTCTCAAAAAACACAAATTTAAGGGCCGCCGAAACGCGAAGAAGTGCGCTCTTCACCAAAAGTTTACTTTCCGCTACTGTCTCTCTCGGTGCGATCATCTCAACGAACGCCGTGGTGGATGTACAGTCACGCCACCTATAGGCTGTGAAAGTTGCGAATACCGAGGGACAACTTTCTGTGGCAATGGAGGGAAGGCTACATGGGCGGAGCTACTGCTCCTGTACTCCTCCACGAAGTAGTCCGGTTCAGCTCACGTTTCGAATGACTGCGTTCATCTAATCCCACTGCACACAATTTGATACGCCTGCTTACACAGCCAGTTTGTGAGAGAAATTCGACACAAACTCCTTTGGCGAGTCGTCGGAATGACTGGACGGCGACGCCCGCTCACCTAAGGACGAAGATGCCCATTGACGTCTGAGGGGCACATAAGAACGTGCGGTGTTTTCAGACGTGCGAAAATGCGAAATGACTCTTCAGAAAGCAACAACAAATGACGGTATCTCCTCGGCGCGTGCAGCGTCTCTCTATAAACAGCATCTAGTAGAAGATAATGCTTTTTTATTAGTTTCATATGAGGAGAATACAGATGCATTCGTAGGCACTATATTCTACAGCAGTGGTACACTCCCACATTTGCTCCATAGCCTTCCCTTCATTGCCACAGAAAGTTGTCCCCGAGTGTAGTGTATCTCTTTAAAGCATCCGAAAACAAGGATGTGATTATGAGAGCCGCTTTAAAAGAGGACTCCGGAAACATTTACCAACTGCAGTTTTGCACCTATATCAGAGTACGTGGGCCTCGTCGTTGGCATTTGGAAACGTGAAAGTATCAATATTCAGGCACTTCTTTAGCAAATAAAGGCACTTTAACTTTATATACCATTGGACAAACTTTCTATCATGAAATATACTGTAAAAAAATTAACACAATTGTGCAAGCTGCGTCTCCCCAGTTCGTTACTATTGAAAAGATACCTTAAAAAGCGAAGTGCTCTATAGGACCAGCTATCCTCGACTCGGCATTATTTATGCATGCAGAAAATGGCCAAGAATTATTTTGACAAATTTTATGATCGTAGATGCTAGCTTTTGCCGCCGTCCCCGTGAATATCAAGTTGGTGCGTCGAATTTAGTTTAGTGCTAGCACTAGCAAATAACAGAGATGCCCACTTATCGACAGGAGCGTAGGTGAAAAAATCTTTTTTTTTTTTTCGGAGGGGAGGGGGGGGGGGGTGCACCTTTTTGAAATGGTCATTTTTCGCACTGTATGCCATGGTGAAAAATATATAGGAGTGGGGGGGGGGCTAAGGCACGAGTCCTGTATGCCACCCCATGGCCACTCCTTACCGATATCTGATATAGGTCACAGTGAAAAAATCTTTTTACTTTCAATGAATGCGTTCGCATTGTTGTGGCAGTGAAGGGTAAAATAGTGCATACAGCTGATCTGATAAAAGCTGAGGTTTCACACCCCAAAGCGCCCCAGGTACTGGACCCAGCGAATTGGGCATCTGATGACCACACACGAGGTGCAAGACGTCCAAAGGTTTGTAGTGAATGTGGACTGTCTGCACCATGCCGGACAAGTTTTGGTGGGCGGGCCAGAGAACCTGTTGTTGGTGATTCTCGGCATGGAGGTGCACCCTGGCGAGCGTGTCAGGTTAGCACTCAGTGGCGATAGGGGGGTAGACGTCCTTGGCAGGTCTGCCAGGGCAGTCCCGGACGCGGATCCCGCAGTCCGATAGGCTGTCGTTGATGCATGGTTTGG